TTTAAATGCTAAATCGGCTTGCCATACGCGCGCGTCTATCATCTGCCCTTTCCCAGGTAGCAAAGAATTCTGGCCCAGATTTGGCACAAATCTGGCACATCAGGCATTCATCCGGCACTGGCATACAGCATGTGGGCCAAACATGGCCCAGATTTGGCAGAGGTGGCACCGTCTTGGAGGCGGCAGACAAGACATGGGCCAGATGTCAAATGTAGTATTTGGCCCATATGTTCAAAACTGATCTGTGGCCCACATAAGTTTGGCCTTTCTGGAACCACATTTAAAATACATAAAAATATTTTTTCGAGTAAAAAAATATTTCAATACACAGTCATTCCATCTTCCACTTGCATCTTCTAATGCCTTCATTTTAATCTAGGAAACAATCAAGATTGAATTATTTGAATTAATCTATTCTTTCTTGTATGTTGCAACTAAATTTACCCTAAAATAAAATTTTTTTTATTATTCAAATTATTATTTTGCTAATTATATTATTATTAACCAATGATGAAATACCATAATATACAGACGGGAGTGTTAAAATGTTAAGTCAATTGTTTTTGTGCTGCTTGTCTCATGCACAAACACCAGAAAAAATTCAAAAATCCAAATCTACCAATCAGGTTGCTTGGAGAAAAAGCGCGCCTGTAGCGCGCCTAATGCGCAATGCTTTATGGGTTTATCAATATAATATTGCAGTCGTAACCATTGGTCGTGACTCTCGGTTTTCTGTTCAGTTTTCAAATATATTTTCTTCCGGTGAACGGTGTATAACGTCAGTCTGCTGATTTAGCTAGCTTGGTTAATTTTAACCACGATTAAAAAACAACGAAACAAAACTTCTAATTTGAAAAATACTCTTGGATCTAAAGAGGACGGTGACGGCGGGCGGCCACTTGTACGCACTTCACTAACGGTCTTGGACCTAACTGGAGCAAAGGCATTTTGGTAAGTAATAATTGGATTTCTAATATATTGTTTCAGATCAGTTATCAGTTTCATCGTCGGAAATGTAAATGTCATCGACGTGGTTGTCAGTGTATACCCATAAGCTCGATAAATATTCTTTAACGTTAGCTAAAGTTAATTTATCTCATGTTAAGTGGCACATCATGATAAATAAACTCCAAAATAATATGTAAATTAACAGAAGACATGGTATAACACAATTTAAGGATATTTATTCGTTTCGTTTATCCTTATCGAACGTTACTGAGATTATCTCATTAAAAGTTGGACCATTTTCGTGCTGTGATGTTAACCCATAGCCCTTGCAAAGTTGCTTTTTACGTAATAAAGCGAGAGATGAAGGGCATTTCAAGCAAAAACAGAATGATCACTTGGAATGATTCAAAATGTATTCCAAAATCACACCCCTCTCCAGCACGCACGCACGCACGCATGCATTGGAAAGGGAGATCTTTCATGTATTATATTTGTATTATGAAGAAAAACGAAGCCTAAATTATGAGGAAATATGCTTAATTAAAGCTAAGATATATCAAATTTAAGTATGCTGTATACATTATGTGCTTATGTCGATAAGAAAGCTCTCTACTTTTATGTGCATGTGAATAAATAGGCAATTTTAGATTAGTTTGTTTCATGCCTGAACTATTAACGTTAAGTAAAAACAGTGAACAGGTTAGAGAAATAGATTTAAAGGGATAGTTCACACAAAAAATAGTGTACAATTACTCTCCTCAAATGGTTCCAAATCTTTATGATTTTTAAATTTTTTTTCTATTAAACACCAAATAAAATGTTTTGAAAAAAGCAGAAAACATGTATTTGACTTTCATAGTAGGAAAAACTAATAGCAACAAATACAAGAGTTAATGTTTCTAATAATGTTTTTTTTTTAAATGTGCTTGTCAATAACAGTAAAAACACACACACACACAAAAAAAACAGAATAACAGTTTGACTTAGGGCTGCACGATTAATTGTATTATTTTCATGAGAACTAAATTTGTGGCCACCAATCAATAATTAAATATCATCGCGGTTGTACATTATAAACACCAAGGAGTGTTTAAATTTTTATCATTAAAAAACAGCGAATGACATCAGGTTAGATGCTTTCATTTTGGAACAGACTTAGCAGAATCTCAAACCTTGAGCATACATCACTTGCATAAGTTTTGCCATGGTCATTACATTAAGACGCCTACTGGTTTAAAAAGGCCTAAATTAAAAGAAGATGGACAAATGAGAACTTTTCTGTCATAAACTATAGTAAAACAACAACTTGTCAAAAAGAATAAAAAAAAAACGAAACCCCGTAAACACATTAAATACAGGCATAGAGAAAAGGGTGCTCTTTTATTATCAGCTGTCAATCACCGCCTGCTCTTTTTTTTTTCATGGTCATTGCATCTTTGCCGTGTGCTGTGTAAATGCAGACAATCAGATATGAGTCACTTTAAAAAAACGATGTAAATAATTCAGCAAAAAAATCGGACAGTCACAAATCAAAATTGACCATCAAGATCTGCAGTGTAAATGCAGCCTTACTGTCCTTATTTGCTGGTGAACAAAGAGTGTTGAACCAATTATAGCATTTTACTAAAGCAGAGATTTAAAAGAACACTGCCAAAATATATCTTATTATTAAATTGCACACAGCTTTGTGAAAAGGAACTTAGACTGAATTCCTCCTGGAGCCATATTACTAAAATTATTTGCTTCAATTAAAAGTCGAAGCATGTCTGTCAATATGTTCTGGTTGAGTTTTAATATAATTGTTTTTTAAAATCCAATATCCACATTAACTGTTGATAAAAAAGCTAATTTCAAACATTTACATATCTGTTTCAGCGGCTGTGAGACAAAACCGCCTGACATCTGAAGCCTCAGAAAAAGACATTGACTCAACCATCAAAAGATCGCTATATCTGGCCCCGGATAGGGATGGTGGCAGGAAAGAGAGACAGAAGCGAAAGGAGAATCAGGAGAAAACTGGTTAAAGAACTTGCTTATATGGGATTTGCAACTTAAAAGAGTGCAAAATGCTGTGTGTTCTGATGTTAAAGATTTACAGTATGATGATTTCTCTTGTTGTGTCATATTTTCTTAAATGTGAAATAATAAAGATTGTTCAGAACAGTCATTGTTGTGATTTGATCTGGGAAGGGTTTAGTTTGGCTGCAGGTTTAGTTCATGTGGATTAGGCTTAGGTGTGGCTCACTTTTGGGCTCTCTGGTTAAAGACTGGTCTTAACATGGTTTAATTATGGCTCAGTTTTGGTTCCAAATATTATCTTGATCTGGTCCGGCTGAGGGCCAGTTATGGCCCACATAGCAAAATTTCTCTGGCCCAGCTCTGGCCCACACAATCAGCCTTTTGCTTGGCCCACATGCCGCAGTGAATTACGGTACATGACTGGACCAAGTCTGGCTTCCAGACAATGACCATTCATGTGCCATAACTGGCCCAGTTCAGGCCCAGTTATGGGTTACTAACTTGGCCAAGACCTGGCCCAGATATGGTCCGTGTTTGGCCCTTGCCCGGAAGCCAGACTTGGTCCAGTCATGTACCGTAATTCACTGCGGCATGTGGGCCAAGTAAAAGCTGATTGTGTGGGCCAGAGCTGGGCCAGATATATTTTGCTATGTGGGTTGTAGTAACAGCTCACGTCTTGTGTGATTTTGCGGCTGCTAATACATCATTATATGAAGACAGAATGATATTTTAGGGTGAATTGTACCTTATAAATACAGTATGTGACTCTTTCAACACCATTAGGAGGTATCCCTGTCGCTGTGCAAAGTATGTAAATCACTGTGAAGACTTTAAAACTTAGGATGTTTGACCCAGTATGCGTGTCAAAAAGCGGACGAGTCTAAATCAATGACTGGACAACTGAAATGTTGCCAGACGTCTGATTTTGAGAGGATGGGCCATCCTCTATTTCAGCTCCACTCATCTTGGTCTGCTAACATTACTGCTGCTGCAATCTGAACTCACGTGCGACAGCAGGTGGAACGTAGCTCACGTGCAAACAGCTCAACTAATAAGAGAAAACGGACGTCATATCGTAATCATATCGTCATAATGCCACGATGCATATCGAGACATTTTTGCATCGCAATAAATCGTACAACGATAAATCGTTACACCCCTACCAAAAACACATCAAAAATGCAAATCGATTTGATGTCAATGGATCATATGTCAAAAACGACAGCTAACATTGGGTTAAAAAAATCAAAAATTGATTAAAGGACTGTCCTGTAATCAGTTTTTGATGCCATTTTTAGATGCTAACATTAAGGTAGTTTACAAGCATTTGGAGCTTTCAGATAAATCAAACTTTGCATATATTATAATACTTTTCCTGCTGTAATGTTGATGGTCAAAAGTGCTTCAATGTGTGGATGTCATTAAGGTTTTGACATTAAATCAATCAGCATTTTTGACATGCTTTTTGACGTCATGCTTGATGTGGTTTCAGAATCAAGCTCCTGCTGGCTATATGTTCACTTTTCATTGGATGAGCATTTTGATTGGCTGGCCTACCTTGGCACGTCCTCTCATTGGTCAGGAGTTTGTATCCTTTCTTGCAGCTGCACTCGAAGCTGCCGACGGTGTTTCTGCAAACGTGATCACAGCCACCGTTGTTCATGCGACATTCATCAATGTCTGTAATCAGAGAGAGAGAGAGAGAGACTGAGCAAACACACACATGTGCAGGATTACAGCGCTCCTTTCAGCTCGCCATGATTCAAACCAGCAGGAGAGGATCAACCTCAAATAATACAAAGGTAAAAGAGGTGAATGGCTGTAAATATGAGAGATTTGTCTGGGCTTAAACTATCAACTCACTGTTTGAGAGAAACTAAATGAAATGAAAAGAATAAAGAAAAGAAATGGAAAAAAGAAAGAGAAAGTGAAGGAAACAAAATAAAAGAGGAAAACCAATGAAAAGATCATAAAAAAATTAAAATAGTAGTTTTTGGAAAGTTTTTCACACATTTGCTTTATAATGTTTACATGTTTTACTATAAACATAATAAATATAATTTTTATTTCATTTAGTCGTTCATTCATTTCCCTTTATTCGTCAGGGGTCACCACAGCGGAATGAACCGCCAACTTATCCAGCATATGTTTTACCCAACGGGTGCCCTTTCAGCTGCAACCCAGTAGTGGGAAACACACATACACACTTAGGACGTATTCACATTACCTACAGTTGCCTTGAACCATGCTGAAGCGTGATTGTACCGCTTCCACTCTCTTCTTCGGCCTGCATTCACATTGCATCCGAGCCAGAGCATGCTTACGTCATCAACGATCTCTCGCTCAACACAATGGAGATTGCTTTAATTATATTATATATATTGTATACGATTACATTATATCGTTTGGAATGCAGTGACCACCCAACAGATCAGCCAAAGTCCTCGTGCTGCAGGTATTAGAACAGGGCTGGCTAACCCTGTTCCTGGAGAGCCACCTTCCTGCAGATTCCTGCAACCCATATCAAACACACCTGAACCAATTAATTAGGACCTGAACACCACGTGATAATTACAGGCAGGTGTGTATGATATGGACTGCAACTGAAATCTGCAGGAAGGTGGCTCTCCAGGAACTGGGTTCCCCTGTATTAGAAGGTTTGCTGAACGTGCAGCGAGGGGTTTGCATCTTTAATAAACTATGACAGTTTGTGTTCATTGAACAGTAAGAATGATTAATACATCCATATAAAACAGTCCCTTAAGTGACGTTGCGTCTTCGGTTTTGGGCTCAGGTGTGCTTTGCACCCACACTACAAGCGTATCGTGCCAAAGCCCAACTGGACTGCGCTCTGGCACAGCTCTTCCAATCAGGGCAGGGCCGACCAACTGAACCGCGCCTGGGCCCGATTTGGAGCACTCACACTTGTCAAACAAACCGGGAAATGCGCCTGGGCACGGTTCGTATAGCATTGTGTGAGTGCACCCTTAGACACACTAATACACTACGGAGAATTTAGTTTATCAAATTCACCTATATCGCATGTTTTTGGACTGTGGGGGAAACCGGAGCACCCAGGAAACCCATACCAACACAGGGAGAACATGCAAACTCCACAAAGAAATGCCAACTGACTCAGTCGGGAGCCGAACCAGCAACCTTCTTGCTGTGAGGTGACAGTGCTAACCACTGAGCCACTGTGTCGCCCCAATAGTTTTTATTTCAAATAATTTAAAAAATAAAAAGAAAAGAAAGAAAAAAATGAAACAAAATAAAATAAAACAGAAAAACAATTAAAACAAAAAGAATGCACAGAATAAAATAATATTTAATTGTTTCAAAAAATTCACACATTCTTTAACAAAAAACAAACAAACAACATTTTACCTATTAAATATAATTATTTGAAATATTTAATTAATATAAAATTGATTTTTAAATATTTAAAGCTGTAATACAAATATTTAAAAAAGAAAAGAATCCTTTTAAATTTAAACAAAACTATTTTTATATTTTAAGGAAAATAAATTCCAATTATAGAGTAAATAATTCTCATAAAATATCAATATTTTGTTTACACATAAATATAAAAATTATACGGTAGACGATTAAAATAATTCGTTATTTTATTACAGTTAAATAAGCTAGCATATAGTCAACCATCCTGAAAATTACCAAAGAAATTAGCTTTTTTCCCCTTGAAGGAACATAAATAATTCAAATACACAAATTTCTCAATTTTCTAAAATGTTAACCAAATATATGCACACAATTATTAAACCACTGCAATAAAACCACACTGCAAACATAACAGTTTTCTTTTACTAAATTTTTTTTAATAATCTCTTAAATCAATCTGCCTTTACCTGAGTTGCAAAATCGCTGATGAATTGTCCTTTTTTCTGAGATCAAAATGAAGTCACTGCTAATGGGGTCAATAAATAAATAAACTCGTTTTGCCTTTATTTTTTAAGTTTATTTTTTGAAGAGTAATTAAAAATAATTACAACACTTTCCAGTGGAGTCTGAAAAACAAACTTGTTTTTCTTCATTTTTAAGTTAAACAAAAACAACGCTTTCCAGTGGAGTCTAATAAACAAAAATTAGTTTTCCCTTTATTTTTTTTTTTATTTTCTAAAAAAAAAAATCAAAAATAAAAACCCTTTCCAGTGGAGTACGAAAAATAAACTCGTTTTCTGTTTATTTTTAAAGTTTATTTTCCATAAGAATTCATCGAATATAATAACACTTTCCAGTCGAGTCTGAAAAATTAACTAGTTTTCTTTTATTTTTTAGTTTATTTTCCTGAAGAACTAATCGAAAACAAGAACAATGCTTTCCAGTTGAGTCCAAACAACAAACTTGTTTTCCCTTTATTTTTTCCCTTTAGCTTTATTTTTTATTCCCTTTTTTTTTCATTTGCTTATATTTTTCCAAAATAATTAATCGAAAATAAAAGCACTTTCTAAGGGTGTACAAAAAATAAACTCATTCTCTCTTTATTTTTAAAGTTTATTTTCCAGAATAATTCATAAAAAATAAGAAGAATGCTTTATAGTGGAGTCTGAAAAACAAACCATTTTTTTCTTTATTTTTTAGTTTATTTTACCAGAAGTCATCGAAAATAAAAATGCTTTCCAGAGGAGTCCGGTCAAGTTTTCCAGTCAAGTTCCGAAAAATAAACTTGTTTAAATTTTATTTTTAAAGTTTATTTTCCAAAAGTCATTGAAAATAAAAACGTTTTCCAGTTGCTTTTCTATGTTTTACACAGCTGATGCTCTTCCAGCTGCAACCCAGTACTAGGAAACACCCATACACTCTTGCATTCACACTCATACACTTTGGCCAATTTATTCTATTCAGTTCACTTTGGACTGTGAGGGAAATCGGAGCACCTGGAGGAAACCCACGCCAACAAGGTGAGAACATGCAAACTCTATACATAAATGCCAACTGATCTAGCCAGGACTCGAATCAGCGACCTTCTCGGTGTGAGGCGGTTGTACTACCCATTGAGCCACCTTAACGCCCAAAAAAACCTAATTTTCCCCTTATTATTTTAGTTTCAAACTCCACCAGAAAGTATTGTTCTTTTTTTCTATGAATTCCTCAAACAAGACCTAATATCTCAAGTGATTTCCGACAGTTTAAATGCATGTACTGGAAAACAGAACATCAGTGCTGATTTTCATCTCTGTCCCGGACACACATGTGGTGAATGCGCGACTTCAGATCATTTCTGCGGTTCGTTAGAACATTCAGGACATCACAGAGGAAGTCTTTCAGGATCCTGTCTCCTCTGGCCTGTTCTCTGTAAATCGAGGATCAATATATCATCAGCTCTCGGTGGGCTTTGATTGAGCTGCGCTGGATGTTTCTGATTAGGGTTGAATCATCTGAGTAAATGAGGCGTTCATCTCCGAATCATCTGGAGAAAATAACGGCATTAGAAGCAGAAGAAAGCGCTGCTCGTCTCGCTCTGGGCCCCGAGTCTTCTCGTGCCAGTGCTGTCTGGGGATGTTTTTCTTTGTTTCTTCTGCAGCAGAACTAATAAAACCCAATGTTCTTTTATCGGTCTTGTTAGCGTAACGTTATGAGCGCTAGAGGCCACGCTGGCTCCCAGTTTTGGATGCACGAACCAGACAACCTCACTTCAAGCCGCTCTTTTGTTCTTTGGTTAACTTATTTTTAATCGTATTTGCTCATTTATGTCATTGTTTGCTGTAATAGGTTTGAAAAGAACCATTTAAATAACCAATAATAACCTCTACATCTATCTATCTATCTATCTATCTATCTATCTATCTATCTATCTATCTATCTATCTATCTATCTATCTATCTATCTATATATATATATATATATATATATATATATATATATATATATATATATAAATGTATACATTTTACAGTGCCATAAATGAGTAAGCCCTGACATATCTCTCTTTTAAATTAATACTTAATATAGGATGCTAAATTATATAGTTATTATACATTTGCACTTCCCTAATTAGCTTAACTTGCCTAATTACGATAAGGAGGAAGACACATATATATATA